CACTCCTCCTTTCTTCTCTGGCACATGGGAGACATGTTGTGGGTTGCCTCCGTCTGTGCCTCTCACCATATCCCTTCCCCGTGGGAACCAGGCTTGGCCACCTGGAGGGTCCAAAACAAGGCCAGCAGCTGACGCGCTTTCCTGGCCATGGATGCAATGTGCCCTCAGCGGTGACTTCCTCAGAGCGGGCACCTGGCAGATGCTGACAAGCCTCCCTCGGGTCCATTCAGGAAGGAGGGGCCAGCCCTGCTGCTGGGCCAGCTCTCCAGGGCCATGCCCCTCCCAGCTGTCCCCACGTGGAGATGGATGACAGGAAGTTACGCAGGCCTGGCCCTCCCTGACCCAGGGGCCTCCTGCTCCTGACCCCTGATTCCTGCCTGGAGGCTACTCTGGGAGGGGCCTTGGAGCTGGACGCGGCTGCCTGGCCCCAAGCACAGGCCCTTGACTGGGAATCAAACCCAGGCCTCTTCGCTCTGCTTGACGCTGCTCCATGGGAAACCATAGAGAGGCGGCTGCACCTACAGCTGCAGGGCCTGTGCAGTAGAAGCCCAGCAGGCAAAGCCTAGGGAGCCCAGCTGATGCCAGTCAAGATGCCTACCCATTAGAACACGGTGGGACCAGTGGTCCTGGGTCTCCCGGGGTAGGGAGCATGGAGAGTGGAGAGCAAGCAGGACGCAGGAGGGGATGGTGCAGGTGGAGCCCCAACAGCCTGGGTATCACAGGCTGGCACCCGGGTCTAGGACAGAGGGCCTGGTTGTGGGAGGACAGCCACCAGGAGAGGCTCCAGGGAGCAGCACACAGAATCGGGGGCCTTCGTCAGAGCCCCGGCGGGCACTGCGGAGTGGGCACAGCCTGGAAGCCGGGCACAGGCGCTGCCCTCGGTGAGGAGCAAGGCCGTCCTGTGGACACAAAGCTGCGCTGTGGCCTGTGTCCCTCTGAGCCGTCGGGCAGAGTGAGTGAGGTCAGTGTCATTGTCAGTGTGGTCACAGGTGTCCCGTGGTTGGTGGGGCCCGAATGGGACAGCCAGTGCCATGAATGAGGGCCTCCAGGAGCCATCGCTGCCCCGGGCCCAACCCCCCCATTC